GTATTGGTATATGATTTCTAATACAACTAGTTTGCCTAATGAATTGTGAACCTTCAGAATTTTCACAGTTTACCACTTATAATTTTTACAGAAGCAGCTAATGTCCCCCCCTCCCATATTTTTAGTAACACTTAAAAAGTATATTGAAAGAAAAATTTGAATTATGGGCCATACCTAAAAAAAAAAAAATACCAGTGTACTGGTCAACATTTTTCCTCATTATCAACCAATTACAGCTCACATCAGAATTATAATTTCAAGGCCAGACATGCTACTGGTTTAAAATGAATGTTATGTTTTTAATGTTTCTTCTCTCCCCAAAAAGCAGCAATAGTAGTAGATTTAACAATACCATAGACTCTCATGACTATGAAATCGTGGCTATTTGTGTTAACATGTTGTTCCTGTTGTTGATGTGATACAAAGCTCCTGCAAAACAGCTGGCACAGTCCAGTGCACTGGCTTCCCTCACTGGACTCGGTAAGTATTCTCCTTATTTGTGAGAGGGCCTTAAAGGGAAAAATGACACTTACCTGTCTCTCTACATGTTCTGTTTTGAAACTGTACTAGTCCTACACAGTTTATAAAATTTAGGTTTTAGGGTTATAGCCTCTAAAAGGTTTTTTTTCTTTTTTTTTTACTAAAGCATTCACAATGGGATTATTATAAATGTGGTGGCTAATTCATAGTTTATTAGTACAAGTTATAATAGTTCATAATTTAGCCATGATAGCATTTAAGCTCACTTTCAGAATTATTACATACATGCCGTAGGGAAAAACCTATCCACTATTGCTCTTAAGGACCTTTATTTAGATCGTGTTGCAGCAAGTCAAGTTTTTACATAGAGGAAAGGGTTTATCTTACAGCATGATAGTAGTGATGTGTTCGTAATTTGCAATTTGCATGATATATTATCAAGTATATAAGAGCTTGAATTTGCCTTTTCCACATCATCATTTCAAATTAATATTTGTGAGGGTCAACAGAAATGGGTAAAACCAAATGCCCATGTGATTTTGTTATGATTACTATTTAGATCACTTCAGGGTGGGGAGCAGTTTTAGCACCATACCATCTCTGTATCAGTGAGAATTACAGTATTCCAACTTTGGTAGGAAAAAAATATTTAGCATCCCTTGGATTTCTAAGCTTTGAATAATGAAAGAGTTAATTTTAGAAATATTTTCAGGATCATCATAAATTTGAGTAAGGTAGTTTGAATTGATTATGCTTTAGTAAGGCTTTGTTACTGCCCTATTAAATGGCTTTGTTGGTTAGCATGGACAGTAAGACAATAATTTTCAAGATTCCCTTATGGTGAGAAATATATGAAATATTCTTGAAAGAATAAGATACTAAGTATCAGTTTTCTTGAGGATTCTGTGTTCTCCTTAAGCATTGTAATTTATACTCCTCCCCACCCCGAATAAGCATATTCTTCCAAGAAAAAGCAATGAAAAAAGAAATGAGCTTTCTTCTCGGACCTTAAAAAGTTTTTAGTGCCTAGAATAATTTTTACATATGATAGACTGGGCTTTATGCACACAGGTGGACTGGGTGGTTATGGATCAGGAGACAGTGAAGATGAGAGGAGCGACCGAGGTTCTGAGTCATCTGACACTGATGATGAGGAATTACGGCACCGAATCCGGCAAAAACAGGAAGCTTTTTGGAGAAAAGAAAAAGAACAGCAGCTGTTACATGATAAACAGATGGAAGGTATATCTTTTAGACTCAATGTTTGTACAGTTCTGTTCATATTTCTTTTTTTTAATTTTATTTATTATTTTTTTTTGCGGTACGCGGGCCTCTCACTGTTGTGGCCTGTCCCATTGCGGAGCACAGGCTCCGGATGCGCAGGCTCAGCGACCATGGCTCACGGGCCCAGCCGCTCCGTGGCATGTGGGATCTTCCCGGACCATGGCACGAACCCGTGTCCCCTGCATCGGCAGGCGGACTCTCAACCACTGTGCCACCAGGGAAGCCCCATATTTCTTTTTATTTTATAACCATCTTAGAAATACCAAACGATAGAATCAAGGCTAGATTATAAATAATATGTGATGTAACTGAAACTAAGGTGTTTTGGCTCATTTGCAGTTTTTATCAAAGTTAAAGTCAAAATTGATTGTAAAAAGTTATAGTTTATAAAAGTTTTTTTGTTTTGTTTTGGGAGACATTAGTTCCATTGGCTGTAAGTTAAGCTATTTAGTGTATTTTTATTTCTTATTAAAGTTCTTAACAGGACTACCCTGGTGGTCCAGTGGTTGAGACTTCATCTTCCAATGCAGGGGGTGCAGGTTTGATTCCTGGTCAGGGAGCTAAGATCCCACGTGCCTCAAGACCAAAAACCCAAAACATAAAAACGAAGCAATGTTGTAACAAATTCAATAAAGACTTTAAAAATGGTCCACATCAAAAAATCTTTAAGAAAAAAAAAAGTTCTTAAAATGAAAAAACTTTTGAAAGGGGAAATATATTGTAAACTATTGAAAAGTAATTTGTGCTAGCATATTTAAGGATAATAGAGGACTTTTTAGAAGGTTTTTTATGTAAAATGCTGTACATGTGTACAGTTCTTAGTTTATATAATGATACTAGGAATAATGAAAGAATATTTATTTAGAATTTCTTTTTTGAAAAATCTTATTTGGACAATTTGAGAAGTAATTATTAAGAGTTAACAGCCAAAAATTTCCTATAAATTACTTACTTACCTTCAAGTTACCTTACTGTACAAAAGGGAAATCTTTTCTTACTTGCTTTACTGTACCTCGACACTTTGGTACTCTATTGCTGTACTGTCCAGGAAGGCAGCTAACTGCATGTAGCTATTGAGCATTTCAAATGAAGCCAGCCCAAATTGAGATGTGCTGTAGGTATAAAATACACACTGTATTTCAAAGACTTTACATTAAAAAAAAAAAAAGCAGATTATCTCAATATTCTTTTTAACTGATCACATGTTGAAATGATAATATTTTTTGTATGTTGGGTTAATAAAATATGAAAATCAGTTTCACCTGTTTCTTTTTACTTTTTAAATGTAGCTGTTAAAAAAACCCTGAATTGCTTATTGCATTCTATTTCTGTTGAACAGTGCTGCTGTATTTTTGTAGTCTGATAGCTTGAAATTTGGTAGCATGGGAGTTTTTTCATTGCACGTTTGCCTTTCTTACTGTTTTTGTCTTTTTCTGTTTCAGAAGAAAAGCAACAAACAGAAAGGGTTACAAAAGAGATGAATGAATTTATCCATAAAGAGCAAAATAGTTTATCACTACTAGAAGCAAGAGAAGCAGATGGTGATGTGGTTAATGAAAAGAAAAGGACTCCAAATGAAACTACATCAGTTTTAGAACCAAAAAAAGAGCATAAAGAAAAAGAGAAACAAGGAAGGAGTAGATCAGGAAGTTCCAGTAGTGGTAGTTCCAGTAGCAATAGCAGAAGTAGTAGTACTAGTAGTACTGTCTCTAGCTCTTCGTACAGTTCTAGCTCAGGTAGTAGTCGCACTTCTTCCCGATCTTCTTCTCCTAAAAGAAAAAAGAGACATAGTAGGAGTAGATCGCCAACAATTAAAGCTAGGCGTAGTAGGAGTAGAAGTTACTCTCGCAGAATTAAAATAGAGAGCAATAGGGCTAGAGTAAAGATTAGAGATAGGAGGAGGTCTAATAGAACTAGCATTGAAAGAGAAAGACGAAGAAATCGAAGTCCTTCCCGAGAGAGACGTAGAAGTAGAAGTCGCTCAAGGGATAGGCGAACCAATCGGTCCAGTCGCAGTAGGAGTCGAGATAGGCGTAAAATTGATGATCAACGTGGAAATCTTAGTGGGAGCAGTCATAAGCATAAAGGTGAGGCTAAAGAACAAGAGAGGAAAAAAGAGAGGAGTCGAAGTATAGATAAAGATAGGAAAAAGAAAGACAAAGAAAGGGAGCGTGAACTGGATAAAAGAAAAGAGAAACAAAAAAGGGAAGAAAAAGATTTTAAGTTCAGTAGTCAGGATGATAGGTTAAAAAGGAAACGAGAAAGTGAAAGAACATTCTCTAGGAGTGGTTCTATATCTGTTAAAATCATAAGACATGATTCTAGACAGGATAGTAAGAAAAGTACTACCAAAGACAGTAAAAAACATTCAGGCTCTGATTCTAGTGGAAGGAGCAGTTCTGAATCTCCAGGAAGTAGCAAAGAAAAGAAGGCTAAGAAGCCTAAACATAGTCGATCGCGATCCATGGAGAAATCTCAAAGGTCTGGTAAGAAGGCAAGCCGCAAACACAAGTCTAAGTCCCGATCAAGGTAGTATACTTTTTAAAGTATTTTGTCTGATTTTTAAAAAAAAAAATTTGACTGAATTTATGCAAAGTTGAAAGTGTCCTTTCTCTCTCTCTCTTTAATAAACTCAGTTTGGTACTTGATAAATGATCATAGTCTTAAGTAATTTTAGAAATCCTATATAATATTATTTATTTGAAAATTGCAGATTCTTTAGTATAAAATACATTTTTATTTTTAAATTTTATCTTTTCCCTTTCTTTTTTTCAGATCTACAACCCCTCCCCGTCGTAAACGCTGAGGAATGATGTGGCAAGAATGCCATGATGTTTAAAAAATTCCATGAGTTTTAAGGGCTTGTCTCATTATAGAGGCACATTGTGGCTGTGTAGGTGAAACCAGAATTTTTTTTTTTTTTTAATCTGTAAATAGGTGTACTTTTTCCAAATGCTGCTCCAAGTTACTTAATAGGATTTCTTTGTATTACATTTTTTCAAAAAATAGTGCATAATAAGACTATAAACATGCCATTCTCTTTCAGCTGTAATGTTCTTAAAATTATTCTTGAATGTACTGTGATGTCAATAAAGCTCTTTAGTTCATTTTTGTTAACCTCTTGCACATTAATTTTATGATTTTAATCTAAGGAACGTACTTTTATAAAAAGGCAGCTGGAGTTTTGTATAACGGATTTTAAAGGTACTTCCTCTCATCTCCCCCAAAGAAAATGGTTTTAAATTAATAGTTTGTCAAAATCTGTAAATTGTACCCATGGATTTTTGTCAAATTTTAACTATAAGGGTGTAGAAGAGGGCCAGAAATAGATCTTTACGTTCATTTGGAAGCATTTGACAGCTTTCTAAACTTTTCTTCCTGTTTTGGGGATTTTCAAGTAATATGTTCTCTGTGTGTATAAAGTATGGTTCACTCCTGTAAAATGAAATTGCTGGAATCAATCAGAGCAGTGCACCATTAGAATTATTTATAAGGAATTACTGTGTTTGACAGTAGCAGCAGTGCAAGTCTGGAACTATATTCTGCAGTTTCCCACTTCTGTTTTAAAGCATATTTTAAACACTTTGGGGTTACTATAGAACTAAAACTCACAATTTGATATATTTATTTATATTTTTAAAGTATAATATGACCTCAGCTCAGTGGAGGAATACTGTATTATTCAGGTTTGTGTCAGTTTCATAACATTAAAATTTGGTTTTGTCAGTTTCTTAAAATTATGATCAGTGAGTGGTCTAGCAGTTTAAGGCAGTCATAACTTATGAGTAAAACGAGGCTCTGCAGGCACTGAAATGCTCAACTGAAATGCTTTTAGGGTCCACTTTATATGATTACTCACTTATGCCACAATAGATAAATCTTTGAAAACAAATGCTTTTAAATTTTAAGTTAAAAAGGAAAAAGCAGGTTCAGGTCACAAGAGTTTTAGAGTATGCCTTGTTACCAGCAGTAGTTCATATTAAAGTAAGCCAGGTTTTTGCCAAGATCAGTGTTTCCTCAAAATGAAGGTAGAAATAGACTTATAATAGTGTGCTCTTGTACCTCTACATAGGTTCTTAAATAATTTTGAGCAGTTACGCATTTATCTAGAGGAAGTCAACTGTGAATAAATGCATGTTTACCAAAATGATTGTTTTACAGTGCATTTAGTTCTGATATTTATTAAGTTGACATTTCACACAATAACTTTCAAATAGTTTGGAATTCTATATAGTTTAGACATCAGTCACATCTGAGATAAGTAAAGGAAAATGTGCAATATTTTTTATGTAGGTGAGCTAACACAGTGTACCTAATTGCGGAATTATCTGATTAATTTGTAATAGATAAGTTGTATAACATTTTCATATCTAAAGATGTTTTTTAGATCAATCTCAAGTGAAATAATATTTTCAGAATAAAATTCTACAGAAAAAGTCTACTGGCTATGATATGCACATTTTTAAGCAAGATATGAGCTAGAGCCAAAAGTAGCATTTGACAGTTTGATTTACTCTGCCATAATATGCAAGCTTCTTATCTGTAGATATTTTTTAAAACATAGTCATGATGTATGTGATTATTAGTAAATACATCAGTATTATAATTAGATATTTGGGTTTTCAGTTTAGAGAATTCATCATTTCACTGACATTAATGGAGTATGTTTACCTTGAATGGTAAGATTTTATAAATAGGGCTTCCATGATTTGGGATGTGAATGCTAAAACTTATACGTAAGTTAATTAGATGTGTAATTTGGTTATGAAGTCTTCTCTAAAGTGATACCACCAGAAAATTAATAGATTAATTTTTTGAGACAATCATTGGTCTGGATTGGTTAATAAAAACTGTCTTAAGAGGTTTTCTTTTCAAATATTTCTAGTGTATTAATCATACTTGTTTTTGTGGAATGGGGGTAAACCACACCATTAAAAGAATAAAATGTAATTTGGAAAGAGGTAATTATAAGATTTGTTTCAGGCCCCAAAATATAAATAAAGATTGGTGTGGAATTTCAGTGTATATGTTTCCTGCCCTTGTAAAATGTCTTTTTAAAAAAGCATCTGTTTCTAATGGTATAACACAATAGGTGAACTTTCCAAACATCATCTTTTTTTTAATGTCTGAGTTATTTTGTTTCTTCAAAGGAAGACATGAAGTATAAATAGTATTTTTAATTTATTGAAGTTTCTAAAATGCGCAAAGCATGGTTTAGTGGAAATAGTATTAGATTCATTGGATTGTCCTGCCTCTGCTGTTTGATATATTTTGGGCAAATCACTTAATCACAGTGGAACTCAGTTTCTTCAGCTGTATAACGGTGGAATTAGATTATCTCTAAGGTCTTAAGTTCTTCAGTTTTAAGTAGAATTTGGTTGTAATGTCTAAACCTTATATGAGAAAATGGGCTTAAAATAACTTAATAGCCCTTAAAATAACTCATGTGTGATGAGTTACATTGATACCATGAAGGTTTACTAGGTGTCATCCATAGAGTTTTCCTATAAAAACACATAAATCTGCCACATTCTGATTGTGGTAATGTTAAGATAAAATTATCTTAAGTTACCAATTTATTGAATATATGGAATTTTGTAAATACAAAAATTTACCAGTTAAACCTAAGTGGATGTAGTAGTGTTATCATTTCAAAGAGGTAAAACTGTGTTAGCTATAGGAGAGCACTTAACCCTTAACTTTAATGAAAAAAGTTTATATAAAATTGAATTTCAAAGTATTAAATAGATATTTAGTTTTATAGCAAAATAAACTGTAGACTCTGTAACACGTTTATGGGTGAGACCATGGGGATGATCTGAGAAATATCTCACAACAGCCATACATCGCATTATAGCTGCTGTTCCTCCAGTACAACTTGGGTTTAAGTGTCATTGGAAGAGCCTTTTATTGATATTTGTAGAGAAAAGTACTGCAAGCTAGTTTTGCTTTTCTGAGCCAAACTAGTGGGTATTTAAGAGGCTTTTGTTTCCTATTGGTATTAAGGCAAATCACTGATTGCCTTTGTTGTTGAACTGAAAATGTAGTGGAGAGGCTTTGAAGCCCAGTGAGGGGAATCATTCAGAGAAAGTACATGTAAATCAAGCTCTTAGAACTTTAATCATACTTGCACTTTGCTTTTTCCTGGGATCTGTCACTCCAGCAGATATAACACATGCTAAATGTTCTTTTGTGCAGAGCTTTCTGCCTTCAGTTGGAGAGATGGTCATGCATCTTGAGGAGCTCTGAAGACCACTTGAAAAATCTGCAACCACTCTTAGGAGGAGGTCAATATTTTACTAAGAAGCCATAAGGGAAAGACCATTACTGAGCAGTAAATTTGACTAATTCAAAGAACCCTTTACCAGTCTGATCCTGCCTGTTAAAAATGTATGATTTTGTCTTTGATGTTGGACATTTATCATTGTTTGTACCCAAGGAAAGGCTGTTACACATTTAGAAGTAAAATGTTAGGTTGCCTGTTCTAACCCTTAAGTGAAGTTTGCCTAGCCTGAGTCATTAACAGTTTCCTGCTATGTAATGTGTGCCCTGTTGGGAACATTATCAGGTCACTCACAGAAAACAAACTTTCAATATAGACTTCTGGCCCTCTGACATTTGAGTGCCTTGAAATGGGAAACAATTCTCTTAGGGAAGAAGTGCTTCGGATCTTTTGTAATTATAAGTTTCGGTCAGTGTCTTACAGGAGTGTCCTTGGGAGACATCTGTTTAATATGAAATAGAGCTATACAGGAATAAAAGCTAGATCACATAGCTTGAAGTGGTATCATTACTGATGGCTACTTTGAGGTGGTCATACAGGAATAGGCATAATGGAGGATCTTGAAGTTAGTTTATGACAACAGAAACATTCTGTAGTTTAACTGCATGCACAATTTGACATGTTGAGCGTTAAAAGTAACTACAGTCACACATCTGTAACACCCATCACTGCGACCATGATTAGTTTGGCTCTCGGAACCTTTCTGTAGGGGATCTTTTGTGGGAGGGACCGGAAGAGGTGGATCCTTTATGTCACGATGTGGGGAGGCCGCAAGCTGAGCTCCTCCGGGAGTCGATTTTTAGGAGCGCATAGGTCGGCGTTCCGGGGCACACAGGCTGGCTGTCCTCGATTAACGACGTCGGCGGGTGAGTGTGTGCGTTGGGGGGGGGGGGGGGGGTCGCTCGCACGCAGCCCACGGCGCGGGCCGGCTGTTCTGCGCAGGCGCAGGCGCGGGCGGCGGGCCGTCTCGGGAATCCGCGCGGGGTCAGCCAAAGACCTGTACGTTAGGTCCTGGGCCTCGCTGTCCGTAGAACGCTCTGCCTGGGCTCTTACCGTCCCTTACCCAGAGGCTGGGAAAAATAGCTGAGGACTAGAGGTCCTGGCCGAGGAGAGCGCAGCCTGCGGGCCGCCGCCATGTATCCAGTGACCTTTGTCTTATTTTCGTTGAGCTCCTGCAGGAGCCGGCCGCCGCTGTGCCGGCTGGAGTCTCAAGGTCATGTGCCTTTTTCCTTTGCCCCGGCGGGAAAGGACACCAGCTGTCTCATAGTTATCGCCTTTTGTTTGTGTTTTGTTTGCACGTATATTGCCATGTTTCAGAATTTAAGGCAGCAATATTATTTTTTGATGAATAGGTTAATTCAACACATTGTATTGGCAAATAAGATCAAGAAAGTAGCACACCGAACCTGATCCTTGTAGAAGACAGTTTGATTATTTAACTCCCAATATTAACCAGAACGTTAAGTTCATTTTTTACATGAAACTCATTTAACAAATACTGCTTGCCAGGCACTGGGAATTTTTAAAGAAGTGATACCTAAAGGCCCCTTTAAAAAAACGTCAGGATGGAACTAAGATCACCTTATAAAGAGCAAAAACTGGGAAACTTAAAGGCCTCCAATAGAATTGACAAGTTGTGGGAGTTCCCTGGTAGCCTAGTGGTTAGGCTCCCGGGATTTCACTGCGGTAGCTGGGGTTCAGTCCCTGGTAGAGGAACTGAGCTTACGCAAGCTGTGTGGCCTGGCCAAAAAAACAAAAACAAAAAAAGAATTGATAAGTTGTTACTCTCAATAGAGTGAAAAATAGTGCAGCCAATAAACATGATTTAAATCAATGTGTAGCCACATGGAAAATGATTAGATGTAGTGTTAAGAAGGTAAGTTACAGAAGACCTAAATAGACATTTCTCTGAGGAAGGCGTACAGATGGCCAACGGGCACATGAAAAGATGCTCAATATTGCTAATTATTAGAGAAATGCAAATCTACAGTGCGTTATCACCTCACACCAGTCAGAATAGCCACCATTAAAAAGTCTACAAATAATGCTGGAGAGGGTGTGGAGAAAAGGAAGGCTCCTACATTCTTGGTGGGAATGTAAATTGGTGCAGCCACTATGAAGAACGGTATGGAGGTTCCTTAAAAAACTAAAAATAGAGTTACCATATGATCTTGCATTCCCATTCCTGGGTATATACCTGGAGAAAGCTCTAATTTCAAAAGATACATGCACCTCAGTGTTCATAGCAGCACTATTTACAATAGCCAAGACACGGAAGGAAACTAAGAGTCCTTTGACAGATGAATGGATATAGAAGATGTGGTATATATACACAATGGAATATTACTCAGCACAAAAAAGTGAAATAATGCCATTTGCAGCAACATGGATGGACCTAGAGATTATCATACTAAGTAAGTCAGACAGACAAATATCATGTGGTTTATATGTGAAATCTAAAAAAATGATATAAACGAACTTATTTACGAAAACAGAAATAGACTCACAGACATAGAAAACAAACTTACTGTTACCAAAGGGGATAGTGGTGGTGGTGGGGAATAAATTATGAGTTTGGTATTAACATATACACACTAATATCTATAAAATAACAAGAACCTACTGTATAGCACAGGGAACTCTATTCAATATCTTGTAATAACCTGCAATGGAAAAGAATCTGTCTGAATCACTTTTCGGTACACCTGAAACTAATGCAACATTGTAAATTAACTATACTTCAATTTTTAAAAAGGTAAGAAAAAAACCTTACAAATCAGTTTGTATTATGAACTTGGAGATACATAGTGAGAATAGAGATACATCAAAATTTTAACAGTGATTATCTGAGGTGGAGTTGGTGATCTATCATTTTATCATTCGTTATATACTTTTCATAATTTTTTTCAGTAAATATGTCTTTTATAATCAGAAATTTAGAAAAAATACAGTATAAATATTTCCAAATTTTGGAAGTGAACATAGAAGGAATAAATATTTGGGATGAGGGAAACTTCTTAAACAAGATATTTAGGGAGCTGTCTTGAAGTTGTCCAGTTTTAGAAGAAGTTGGAGTGGCCAAAGGACCAGCTTGAGTATCAATGAGGAGGTTTCTAGGAAACTGCGAGGTGTTCCTTGAAAAGTACAGTGTGGATGAAGGGCTGGAAAAGAGGGCAGAGAATGGCCAGGGATAAGACAGACTTTTTAGGCCATGACAACTACACGAAAGACCACGTACACCTCCTGGGATTGACTTTCTCTTCAAGACAGTGGGAAATTACGGAACGAACAACATACTCAGACTCGTTTTTTAGAAATAACACTTGGCAGCTGTGTAGACAGTGGGACGGAGGCAGACAAGACTAGGTTCAGGGAGGCCTTAGAGTAATCCAGACAATAAATGATGAATGCTGGAACCACGCCGTTGGCACGGTAGAGGGCTTGTTCACTGTCAGCGTGGTATCTGATAGGTGCTGATAAATGACTTTTTGAATAAACTAGATGAAAATTTTCCCCATTCCTTTAAAATTTCAAATACCAGAATGATCACAGATTCGAGGTAAAGAAGGAATTGGTAGCATTCTATTAATACAAACTTGATTAGTTTCTCTCAGTTATGGTGAGGTAGATTTTAAGGCCCTTAAGAATTCTGGCCATACTGATGACTGAGGGACTAATTTTCCAGAAATAGGGGAGGTGAGAGGGAGATTGGGGTCATCACTGACCAGAGAGCAAGGACTGTATTGAAATCTTTGTGGCTCAATTTCATGATAATACCTTACACAGTTGACCCTTGAACAACACAAGTTTGAACTGCACCAGTCCTCTTAAATGTGGGGAGTTTTCTCCCAATAAATATGTACTACAGTACTACATTGCCTGACGTTGGTTGAATCCAAGGACGTGGAGCAGCAGATGTGGAGGGCCGACTGCAAAGTTATACCTGGATTTTTGACTGCATGCGTGCCTTGGCGCTGCTAACCGCCACATTGTTCAAGGGTCAACTGTAAATCCTTATCTGTGTATCACAGTCTACATAATTCTCTGATATCTCATTTACCTACCTAAAGTCATAAGGGAGGTGATATTTGATCTGGGTCTTAAAAAATAACACAGATAGAAATGGTGGGAGAGAGAATAACTTGAGCTAAAGCCTAGAAGCACAAACTTTCTTTCTGAGGATGTTAAAATGAATTTTGGCCAGGCTGTGAGGTCCTATTAAACAAAACAAAATTTTAAAAACATAAAAAGCTCAGGAGAAAAATGTTCAGAGACTATGAAAAGACAAGACATGAAAAATAAATGACCATTTGTCTTAGTCCATTCCTACTGCTACAGCAAAATACCACAGGCTAGGTGGCTTATAAATGAGAAAAATTTATTTCTTACAGACCTGGAGGTTGCAGAGTCCAAGATTCGGTGTCTGGTGAGTGCTCACTCCCTGGTTCATAGGTGGAGCCTTTTTGCTCTCTGGGGTCTCTTTTTATAAGGGCACTAAACCCAATTATGAGGGTTCCACCCTCTCAAAGACCCCCGCCTCCTAATACCATCCCCTTGAGGGTCAGGATTTCAACATGTGAATTTGGGGGAGACACAAATATTCAGACCATAGCACCATTAAACTTAAAAAAAGACACTTAACCTCACTCATGATAAATTAAAATTATAGTGAGATACCATTTTCACCTATTGGATTAGCAAAGATAAAAAAAGTTTGATAATACACTGCATAGGTGACTATCAAAGTATTATCAGTGTGGGGAAACCAACACTAGAACCTCATAGTTTCTAGTAAGATTGCAAATTGGTTCAACGTCTAAGAAAGTAATTACAAATTTATAAATGCACATGCCAATTGACACAATTCTTGCGGTTTTACATACAGGTACTCTCAAAAAGAAATTACCTATGTAATTCAATCTTATGTTTTCAGAATAGCAAAAGATTAGAAATAATTTAAATAAATGTACATTAATAGGGCACTGCTTAAGGCAGAAATAGAGACACATGTAGAGAACAAATGGTATTTACCAAGGGGGAAAAGTGGCAGGGGGTGGTGGTGGTGGTGTGATGAATTGGGAGATTGGAATTGGCATGTATACACTGATGTATATAAAAGGATGACTAATAAGAACCTGCTGTATAAAAAATAAATAAAATTCAAAAAAAATAGGGCACTGCTTAAATAAATGATGAGTTACAGCCATACAATGGATTACCTTGCAAACCTAAAAAAAAGGAAGTCCTTTATGCTCTATTATGAAAAAAATCTCCAAGATACATTGATAGGTGGAAAGAGCAAGGTGCAGAACAATGAGTATACTGTGCTACATTTTGTATAAAATAAGAGAGAAATTGATACACAAAACTGAAATATGTATAAAATATCTGGAGGCTTACATGCAAATCTAGTGACATTGGTTGCTTGCAGAGAGGGAAGTTGGATACCTAGAGTCAGGGGGAGGAGAAGCACTTTGTAGTGTCCACTTTTATACTTTTTAATTAAAAATTTTTTATTTTGAAATAGACTCATAAGAAGGTGCAAAAATAATACAGAGATTTTCCATATGCCCTTCACCCAATTCCTCAGTGATAACATCTTACATAACCATAATACATTGTCAGAGTCAGGAAATTGACGAAATTGACGTAGTATGATACCATCAACTAAGCTACAGTCCTTTGGATTTCACCACCTTTACATGCACTCATTGTGTGTGTGTGTGTGTTACCACACATAGAGATTTGTGTAATAACCACCACAATCAGGATATGGAGCTGTTCCACAATCACAGCGAAACTCCTGGTAATGCTCCTTTATAGTCAAACCTTACCACCAACCTTAAACCTTGATCTATTTTCCATTACATTATATTATTATTTCCATTATAATTTTGCCATTTCACAAGTGTTATGTAAGTGGAATCTTACAGTATATACCTTTTGAAAAAATCAACATAAATACCCTTGAAATCCATCCAAGTTTTTGCATGTATCAGTAGTTCATTCCTCTTGATTTCTGAGTAGTATTTCATGATATGAATATGCCACAGTTTGTTTAACCATTCATCTATTGTAGGATATTTTGATTGATTCCAGTTTGGGGCTGTTATGGATAAAGTTGCTGTGAACGTTGATGTACAGGTTTTTGTGTGGACGTAAGTTTTCACTTCTCTGGGATAAATGCCCAGGAATGCACTTGCAAAGCTGCATGATAAATATATGTTTAACTTTATCAGAAACTGCTAAACTGCTTTTCATCGTGTCTGTACCATTTTACATTCCCACTAGCAATATATAAGAGATCTAGTTTTTTCATGTCTTGGTCCACACCTGGTAATATCAGGGATGGTTAAATTTTAGCCAATTTGATAGGTATGTAGTGGCTTTCATTTGCATTCCTCTAATGGCTACTGCTATTTAACATCTCTTCATGTGCTTATTTGCATCTGTATATCTTCTTTGATGAAATGTCTGTGTCTTTTTATAATACCCGCAGCCATTTTAAAATTGGATTGCTTATTTTGTTTTTCTGTGGGAGGTTTTTTGTTTTTCTGTTTCGTTTTACTGTTGAGTTTAAAGAGTATCTTTATATATTCCAGATACAAGTTCTTTATGGGATATATGTTTTACAAATATTTCCTCCCATTCTGTGACTTGACTTTTCTTTTTCTTAACAAGGTGTTTTGCCGAGCAAAAGTTTTAAACTTTGATTAAATCCAATTTAATCAATATTTTCTTTTATGGATTGTGATTTTGGTCTCAGATGTGAGAACTCTGTGTGTAACCCTAAATCAGGAAGAGCTTCTCCTATATTTTCTTCTAAAAGTTTTATAGTTTTGCATTTAGATCATTTTGAGTTCAGTTTTGTATAAGATGTGAGATTTCGGTCAAAATTTTCTTTTTTGTCTATGACGTCTAATTGTTTCAACACCATTTACTGAAAAGACCATTCTTCCTCCTTTGAACTGCTTTTGCACCATTGTCAAAATATCAGTTGGGTGAATTTTTTTTTTTTTTTCCTCTGGACACTCTTGTTGCATTGATATTTCAGTCTGTCTCTCCTCCAGTACCACACTGTCTTGATTACTGTAGCTCTATGATAAATCTTAGAATTGGGTATTTGATTTCTGCAGTTTTATTCTCCTTTTTAACATTGTTTATTCTGTCTCTTTTGATAGAAATTGTTTCAAACATATAGATCAATTTGGGGAGGATTTATGTTGACTCTTCCAATCCATGAACACAGTATGTTTCATCATTTACTAGGTTGTCTTTGATTTCTTTCATCAGTGTTTTATATAAATTTTCAGCATACAGAATCTGAACATGTTTTGAGGGATTTATACAACAATGGAAATATTCTTTCTTGGACTGATTTTAAATAATAGAGCATTTTGAATTTTGCTTTCCAGTTGTTCATTGTTAATGTATAGAAATAATTGACTTTTTTGTGTGTTGAATTTGTAGTCTGTTACCTTGCTGAACCGACTTATTCCAGGAGCTTTTTATTTTTATTTTTTAAAGATTTCTTGGGATTTTATACATAGACAATCATATCTGCAAATAGGGACCGTTTAATTTCTTCCTTTCCATTCTGTATGCCTTTTATTTCCTTTTCTTGCCTTATTGTACTGGCTAAGATTTTTAGTAGTACATTGAATAGGAGTCATGAGAATGGGCATTCTTGCCTTGTTCTTGACTTTAGGTGTAAAGTACTTAGTCTATCACCATTAAGTACTTTGTGAGCTATAGAATTTTTATGGGTGTTCTATCAGATTGAAGAATTTCTCTTTTATTCTTAGTTTGCTGAGAGTTTTTAGTCATAAGTGGGTGTGGAGTTTGTCAAATGTTTTGTCCACATTAATTAGTAAGCTATGTGTGTTCTTCTCTCAACTATTAATATGGTAGATTACATTGATTGATTTTCTACTCTTGAACTAGTGTTGCATAGCTAGAATAAATCCTACTTGGTTATGCTATATTTTTCCTTTTATATGTTGCTGGATTCTGTTTACTAATTATTGAGAATTTTTGTGTCTGTTCGTGAGAGAAATTGGTCTGTGGTTTTCTTTGCTGTACCATCTTTGTCTGGTTTTTGTCTGGTTTTTGCTAGAGTAATTTGTCTTCTTGGTGGATTCTCTCTCTCTCTTTTTTTTTTAATTGAAGTATAGTTGATTTACATCTATATATGTAGATTTATATATAGGTGTAAATCTATAGATTTACATCTGTATATGTAGGTTATTACATGTATATATAACCTATATATCCTGTATATAATCTATATATCCTTTATAGGTTATTACAAGATATTGAATATAGTTTCCTGTACTATATAGTAAATCCTTGCTGTTTTATCATAATGTAATGTCCCTGGTAGTTTTCTTTGCTCTAAGGTCTACTTTGTTTAAATGTTTATTGAACAACTGAATGTTCTGCAGCAGAGTAACTAGTTCATAAAGCAGGTCCCTGTGTAAGTTGGAACATATAAACTGAATGACTGTTTATTTTAGGAGATATATATGCCTATAAGTGCACATTTTTTTTCCTCTGTAAAATGTGTTGAGCATACATATAAATCCATTTCATGTAGCTAACATGAAAGTGACATAGTTTGAGCTGGTTTTGATAAATAATCTCAAAATGAATATTACCCTAGCTTGTGGGAATTCCCTGGTGGTCCAGTGGTTAGGACTCTGCACTGTCACTGCTAAGGGCCCGGGTTTGATCCCTGGTTGGGGAACTAAGATCCCACAAGGTGTGTGGTGTGGCAAAAAAAAAAAAAATTACTCTAGTTTAAAAGGTAATGTAGTTTTAATTTGAATATCATTTTGTAATAATTTTGTGCAGCATAATATGTATGTAAAAACGAATGGCATGAAAAACTTTACCATAGGCATTACTTATTTTTGATGATTATTATTTCAGAAATATGTGATTGGAGTTAGATGGCAGAATGCAAGATTTTTATTTTATAATTTAAAGTAAAATCCAAAATTAAGGGGAAAAAACCCTTTTGTTTATCAACTGTACTATAAGATTGCTGTATATAATAGTTTCTTCAATTACATGCATATCAGGGATTCATACTGTGCAATGCTTTCTCTAGACATTTAATTTTCTTTTTTCAGCTTATTCAAAAAATCAGCTCAGTTGGACTCTACAAATTAAACCATCGGTTTTCAGTGAATACAGAATCATGTGTTTCAAATCCTATAGCATGACTTTTGCCTGCCTGAATAGGATGAAAAGTTACAGGTAAGTTTATTCATTGCTGTGGCAAATATTCACATAATTATGTGCAATAATAGTTTCGTATTGATTGTGTTTAATAAACTTTGTCAGTATAGCTCATGTGGTTTGATTAAGGTAGCTTTTATTTATTTAAATATTCTTATTTTCCCAACAGCTTTTAAATTTGGGAAATTTCAAACCCACAGAAAATTTGTAATATAGTATACATCAACTGCATGCCTTTCATCCATATTTAGCGATAGCTTTTATTTTATTTTTTATATATATATATTTCTGCAGTACGCGGGCCTCTCACCGCTGCGGCCTCTCCCGCTGCGGAGCACAGGCTCCGGACGCGCAGGCCCAGCGGCCACGGCCCACGGGCCCAGCCGCTCCGCGGCATGTGGGATCTTCCCGGACGGGGGCACGAACCCATGTCCCCTGCATTGGCAGGCGGACTCTCAACCACTGCGCCACCAGGGAAGCCCCCGATAGCTTTTATTTTTAATGCAAGGCTATATTACTCAGAGAACTACTTTTTACTTACTCATAATATCCTTATGACAGGACACAAATAACACAGTGCTTAGATCATAAATGATTTGGGTGTAACATAAATATAAGGTGGTTAAGTATACATTCTAGATAGTAAGATTGAATCAAAGTAATATCTTTATGTATTCATATATTAGAAACCAATTTCTAACTTTGTGAAAAATATTGCATTGGGTTAAGGTATGAGCTCTGTTTTCCAAGTGCATGCTCTACTTCTCATAAATGAACTGGCTCTTTTAAGATTGGATGTCTGTAATATCATTCTTACTCAACTGAGCAACCACCTACTGTTAACTATTGTAAGTTAGTCCTTTTTTTTTTTTTTTTTTTTTTGCGGTAAGCAGGCCTCTCACTGTTGTGGCCTCTCCCATTGCGGAGCACAGGCTGCGGACGTACAGGCCCAGCGGCCATGGCTCACGGGCCCAGCCGTTCCGCGGCATGTGGGATCCTCCCGGACCGGGGCACGAACCCGTGTCCCCTGCATCGGCAGGCGGACTCTCAACCACTGCGCCACCAGGGAAGCCCAAGTTAGTCCTTTTTAAAAACAATTTATTTAATTTATTTTCGGCTTCGTTGGGTCTTAGTTGTGCATGTGGGATCTTTTATTGAGGCACACAGGCTTCTCTCTAGTTGTGGCGTGCAGATTTTTTTTTTTCTCTCTAGTTGTGGCGTGCAGGCTTCAGAGCACGTGGGCTCTCTAGTTGAGGTGTGTGGGCTCGGTAGTTGCGGCGAGGGGGCTTTGTTGCCCCGTGGCATGTGGGATCTTAGTTCCCCGACCAGGGATTGAACCCGCGTCCCCTGCGTTGGAAGGCAGATTCTTTACCACTGGATCACCAGGGAAGTCCCTGTAAGTTAGTCCTTGATTACTGAGGCTTTGCATGAAGCATGAAAGAGAGGGTAATATTCATAAAATAATATTAAAGAAGAGTGATATTTAACTCTTAAAAGGATATTAAGTAATCAATATAGAATGTAGTCTATGTAGCTTAGAAAAACGTAGTAAAAATTTAAATGGCATTACCTACGCTAATGTAACAACCTATTCTCTTTTACCCAAGAACTTCTGAAGGATTTTCCTATCATGTACTTTGACATGGGACCTGGTGTAGTGTCTGTCTGATCCCCATTTAGTCCCTGTTTGATTCCACTTGATTAAAAAATATATTTACGTGAATTATATGCTTTTCTGGGGCTTCTCCTTCAGATTATTTATTTGACAAATGTTTCCCGAGCACCAACTGTGTTTTAGGAACTGTGCTTGTCACTAGGAATAAAATGGTAAGCAAGACAGCTTATGTTCTAATGGAGAGACATGATCAACTAATCACATAGGCTCACAAAGAAGTACAGAGTTGTAGAGGAGTTAAAATAGGACAGTATTAGATGACATTCCATTTAAACTAAGCTCTAAAGGATGAGAAGAAATTAATTAGGTGTGTAGAGGAGGGAGGGGGGAATGTGAGAACAATGTTCCAGGCAGAGGGAATGACATGTCCAGAGTATCTGGGGAATGAACAAGCATGGCCAATTCAAAGAACTTAAAGAAGGCCCATGTGGCTGGAGTGGGGAGGATGAAGAGAGTAGTGGGAAGTGACTTTGGAGAGGGAAGAAACTTGGGACCAGATAATTGAGAATATTGTATGCTATGCTAAAGATTTTGGTCTTTTTCCCAATGTCACTGGAAAGCCATGGAAGCATTTTAAGTGGGAAAATAGCATGATCATATTTATATTTCAGAACAGTCACTCTGGGTGCATTGTGGGGAACAGATTAGAGGGGGATGAAGTCCTAAGCAGGCCAACTAATTAGAAGGCTAGGGCAATAGTTCAGGCAAGAGATGACGGGAGCTTGGATTAGTATGATCAAGCAGTAGAAATGGAGAGAAGGCTGAGGCATCTGAGTTCAAATCCTGGCTCCACCACTTAATCTCTCTGAGCCTTCCTTTTCTTGTCTGTGCACTAGAGATAATAACAGTACCTACCTTATGGAGTTGCTGAGGATTAAATAAAATGACGTATGACATATAGGTATTTCTTAAACAAGCAGTACCTGGTATTTAGTAAGTATTCAGTAAATAGTTACTACTACTACTACTACGTGACCCAAAAGGCCAAGTTTTATAAAGTTTCATTTTTGTTGTAACTTACTTCGAAAGCAAATTAATTTGTTTCATCTGTGACTATATATATATATATATATATATACACACACACACACACACATATACATGTATATATTTATAAGCAATGTGATTATAAGAAAACTTGTTTTGAAGCATCAAAAATGAGCGATACATGTATTTAGAATCTAGTAAATTGCAAATTAGAATATCTTTCTACTTAATATATCCCATGTTACATTTTTTTAAATGGCAGTTTTTGCCTGGCTCTTCCTTCTGATCTCTTAGACTCCCTTGGACAAAACCGTACAGTACTTCCCGGACCACTGTAGACAGCAGTGAGGTGAAGACCTTCCTGGCCTTGGCGCACAGGTGGTGGGACGAGCAAGGAGTATATGCACCTCTTCACTCTATGAATGACCTGAGGGTGCCGTTCATTAGGTAACATTACAGAAATTCTAGATCTTTTAAAATACAACTCTTTTCAATAATTCATTTTCTTTTGAGTTCATTTTTCTCTCGGTTTATGCCTAGGTTCAAAATGCTGCATTTTAACTTTGCTTTAGAAATTAGGGAGATTCTCTTCAATATGCATTGTTTGACACTATTAAATTTTTTTTTTTTTTTTTTTTTTTGCGGTACACGGGCCTCTCACTGTTGTGGCCTCTCCTGTTGCGGAGCACAGGCTCTGGACACGCAGGCCCAGCGGCCATGGCTCACGGGCCCAGCTGCTCCGTGGCATGTGGGATCTTCCCGGACTGGGGCACGAACCCGTGTCCCCTGCATCGGCAGGTGGACTCTCAACCACTGCGTCACCAGGGAAGCCCTAAATATTTTTTAAAATTTATTTTATTTACTTATTTTTGGCTGCGTTGGGTCTTCGTTGCTGCACACGGGATTTCTCCAGTTGTGACGAGCAGGGGCTACTCTTCATTGCAGTGCACAGGCTTCTCATTGCGGTGGCCTCTCTTGTTGCGGAGCACAGGCTCTAGGCGCGTGGGCTCAGTAGTTGTGGCTCACCGGCTCTAGAGCGCAGGCTCAGTAGTTGTGGTGCACAGGCTTAGTTGCTCCGCGGCATGTGAGATCTTCCTGGACCAGGGCTTGAACCCATGTCCCCTGCACTGGCAGGTGGATTCTTAACCACTGTCCCACCAGGGAAGTCCCGAAACTATTTATTTTTTAACAGCATCACTCGAGTTCTACACTGTTTCATAAATTAACTTGAAGTATTTTTGGATATTATCGAGTTAATTAGAATTAAATCCATATGAAAAGGAATTAGGGTCCTATGGCATCAAGGTCATCTTATAGCATCTTTGGCCTTTAGGCAGTTCTGATACAGGTAATAGTACTGAGAAAGTTCAATTCAACAAATATTTTTTTGAGAACTTACCTTGTACAGAGCTTGGGGGCTAGAATCTGTAAAAGCTACTGAGATATTTATCATTCAAAACACAGTCTGTGTGCTTCAGGAACTTAGAGTTTGCCATGGGAGATAAAGGCAAGGGTTCATCAGACTCCACTTATCAAGATTCCACTTATCAATTGTTCATTCGTTCTTCTGTCCATTTATTTATTTATTTATTAAACATTTTTGAGCAGCTGACATGGGCAAGGCACTGTGATAGACACAGAATATCAGATTCAGACTGCCCTCAAGGAACTTCCTGATTGGTTTTTGCTGGTTTTATCAGTGCAGCAAAAAGGAAAATATTGGCACATTCTTATTACCACTGAATTAGTGGATCATTGCAACACTAAGGCAGAGAAAAGCAGAAATGTCATTCTGTTAGGCTAGATCAGTGGTTCTCAAGGTTAGCCCTGGACTAGCAACATCAGTATCACCTGTGATCTTGATAGAAATACAAAATTCTCAGGTATCACACTGGACCTACTGCTTTGCGGGGTCAGCAGTCTGTGTTTTCCTTCCAGGTGATTCTGATGCACGCTCAGGTTGAGAACTACTCTGTTCCAACTAATGTGACACTACTAGTTAGACATCACACTAGAAAAGACCATCCAGGGCAGTACAAATTATGGTTAGAAGCTTAGATTTTATTCTGATCATAATTAAAACCATTGAAAGGGAGCAATGTGATCTAAACTATGATATAAAGAAGTCATTTTGGCCAATGTGTGAGGAGTGGATTGGATTTCATTTGAAATGGGTCCTTCCTGTATATTATAACGTTCTGAAATTATCTACTTAACCACTGTCTAGGTTTTTCTTAGAAGTCAATTAATTTGAATAGCAATAAAAGATTTCCTAAGATGTCCTTATTATATATGACATTTATTTTAATATAAGTATAATTAGAATTTGTATGTAGTCCAACTTAAAAGTTTAGTTTACGATACTGTTAGCTATATATATCTGTGTGTGTATATGGGTGTGTATGTGTGTGTCCTTACATTTGTGTATGTGGGAAAATATTGCTATGATTATCTTAGAATTAAGTTTCCTTGATTTGGGTACCTGTTTACATGATCATGAAAACACCACTAAGAAGATGAAAAGTGACTCAATTTAGAAGGGAATGTAGGCAATTCTGCAAATATAGATCTCCAGTCTGCTTCTACTAAACCCTGTAGAATAACCTATTTGTTGCTGATATGAAATGGGTCTAGCAAGTACTAGCAACATAGCTAATAATACCTCAGGTGACATGATATCTCAAGTGAATAAAATTAGGTTAATCTAAACTAGATTGTTTTTAAAGTTTTTCTTTAGATTATTACTAAAGTAATAGTTAAGTCATAATTATTACTAGGTTATTTCAAGAACTTTAAACCTCCTGCTTCTGATTAATAAAAATATCTTATAAATTAAGCATAATGGCATTTTATGCTGAAAATAAGTTTTTTTACCCCCAAAATCAATAGTCTATTTAAAAAGAGAGTTTAATATTTCTTTGAAAATTATGCACTTTTAAGACTTTATTGATAAAATTAATGATTTGTTTTTATATATTTTGAATTTTTTTAAAAGAGACAATCTTTTAAAAACAGTTGCTGATCACCAGCCAGGAAAACCTTTGTCTGGGATGAAGATTCTTGATGTTGGCTGTGGTGGTGGATTGTTAACGGAGGTAAGTGATATACAACTTTCCTGGCATTTTTCTTTCTTTTTTTTTTAAAGGGAACTTTATATTTATTTATTTATTTATGGCTGTGTTGGGTCTTCGTTGCTGTGTGGGCTTTCTCTAGTTGCGGTGAGCGGGGGCTACTCTTCATTGTGGTACGTGGGCTTCTCATTTCAGTGGGTTCTCTTGTTGCGGAGCATGGCCTCTAGGTGTGCAGGCTTCAGTAGTTGTGGCACGTGGACTCAGTAGTTGTGGCTCTCGGGCTCTAGAGCCCAGCCTCCGTAGTTGTGGCGCACGGGTTTAGTTGCTCCGTGACATGTGGGATCTTCCCGGACCCGGGCTCAAACCTGTGTCCCCTGCATTGGCAGGCGGATTCTTAACCACTGTGCCACCAGGAAAGCCCAACTTTCATGGCATTTTTAACTGGGAAAAAAAAAAATTGAGAAAATGTGGGCTTATGCCTCTTTTATCCTTTTAACAAATAATATTGTTCATTTTTAAAACAGGAAGTATATAATGTTGTTTTTAATATTTTTATGATTATAAACTAGTACATGCTTTTTACTTTCTTAAAAATATATAAGTATTTCAGAAAATTATAGTGAGGATTTTTTTTTTTTACACAAATATGGGGCACTGGTAAAAATAAATAAATGGGACCTAATTAAACTTAAAAGCTTTTTCACAACAAAGGAAGCCATCATCAGAACAAAAAGATAACCTACTAAATGGGAGAAAGTATTTGCAAATGATATGATTGATAAGGGGTTAATATATCCAAAATACATAAACAGCTCATACAACTCAACATCAAAAAACAAACAACCACGTCAAAAAACAAACAACCAGGTTAAAAAACGAGCAGAAGACCTGAGTAGACATTCTTCCAAAGAAGATATACGGATGGCCAATAGGCACATGAAAAGATGCTCAACATTGCTAATCATCAGAGAAAGGCATGTCAAAACCACAATTAGATATCACCTCACACCAGTCAGAATGGCTATCATTAAAAATTCTACAAATAACAAATGCTGATGACGATGTGGAGAAAACAGAACCGTAGTACACTGTTGGTGGGAATGTAAATTGGTGCAGCCACTACAGGAAACAGTATGGAGGTTCCTCAAAAAACTAAAGATAGAACTACCATATGACTGAGCAGTTCCACTCCTGGGTATACATCTGAAGAAAACAAAAAAACTCATTCGAAAAGATACACGCACCCCAATGTTCACAGCAGCACTATTTACAAGAGCCAAGATATGGAAGCAACCTAAGTGTCCATCAACAGATAAATGGATAAAGAAGATGTCTCTCTGTCTCTCTGTCTCTCTCTCTCTCTCTGTCTCACACACACACACACACACACACACACACAGGAATAATAGTCATAAAAAAGAATGAAAATTTTGCCATTTGCAACAATGTGGGTGGACCTAGAGGGTATTACACTTAGTAAAATAAGTCAGACAAAGACAAATACTGTATGTTATCACTTATGTATGGAATCTTAAAAATAAAGCAAACAGGGCTTCCCTGGTGGCGCAGTGGTTGAGAGTCCGCCTGCCGATGCAGGGGACACGGGTTCATGCCCCGGTCCGGGAGGATCCCACATGCCGCAGAGCGGCTGGGCCCGTGAACCATGGCCGCTGGGCCTGTGCGTCCGGAGCCTGTTCTCCGCAACGGGAGAGGCCACAGCAGTGAGAGGCCCGCGTACCGCAGAAAAAAAATAATAATAAAAAAAAAATCAAACAAATGAATATAACAAAACAGAAACAGATTCACAGATACAGAGAACAAACCAGTGGTTGCCAGTGGGGAGAAGGAAGGGGACAGGGGCAAGATATGGGTAGGAGGATTAAGAGGTACAAACTACTATGCATAAAATAAATAAGCAACAAGGATATATTGTACAGCACAGGGAAATATAGCCATTATTTTATAATAACTTTAAATGGAGTATAATCTATAAAAATATTGAATTACTATGTTGTACACCTGAAACTAATATAATATTGTAAATCAACTATACTTCAATTTAAAAAAAAAGCACTGGTCATTTGAATAGCTTTGGAAATTTTGTTGTCTCTTCTCTCCCAAGATATTAGGCAATTTCCGCTGGTTTAAATGCACTGATAAGCTGTCCTTTTGCACTTGCTTCAGTATCAAAACGTAACAGAATTTTGCCTGCTTTGGGGGCTCTCCCCTTCTTAGGTGCTCTAGAGTACTTCTCCCTGTGAACAATACTTGCTTTAGCTGACAGAATATTTATGCCCTACAGTTCTATTTTGTAATATCCTATCAACACAATAACTTTTTGTTTAAATGCTGCATCATAATCTTTGCTTGAAAGATATTTTAAGCAAACAGTACAGGATACAAATGTAAGTGAAGATACAATGGTGTGTGTTACTGTCAAGGTCATAACAGCCAAGTTGACAGTGAGGTTAACAGAGGCCTTTGATACATAGCTAAGTTTCCATATGCACAGAAAATGTGTTCTTCATATGGCAGTGCGCTGGTTTCTCTTGACATCAATTATAAAATTTCAGGAAATGTAAAATATGTGAAAATACATCCGTTAGAATCAAGAATATGAGGTGTATCAAACTGTAAATTAGTACAATTTTACTCTATGTGTTCTATGATCTTCTCCGTGTATTATTACAGATTTATATCTCTAAAGTTAAAATAATTTGATTTATACTTTTAACTTATTAACTAAAGAGTTATAAAATAAATGCTATGCAGTTTTGATCAAAATAAAGGCTGTGTTTAAAAATTGGGCATGTCATGGGAAGTGACTGAATATAAAGGCTGAAAGAAGAATTAGCTACGAAGAATCGTTTTTAGTCAGTCACAAGAGAAACTATGGAGAAAAAAATGTGCTTCAGAGAATTTGAGTATTAGAAAATTTTGCTCTTTTTACAATGACATGTTACATTTATTGCACTTTATACTTTTTTTTTTTTTTTTTTTTTTTTGCTGTACGCGGGCCTCTCACTGTTGTGGCCTCATCGCGTTGCGGAGCACAGGCTCCGGGCGCGCAGGCTCAGCGGCCATGGCTCACGGGCCCAGCCGCTCCACGGCATGCAGGATCCTCCCGGACCGGGCCACGAACCCGTGTCCCCTGCATCGGCAGGCGGACTCTCAACCACTGCGCCACCAGGGAAGCCCTATTGCACTTTAAATATGTTAATACTGTACTGTGTGCCTGTAAATATATCTAGAGAATGTAGACAAAAATTTCCTCACTATTCTTAAGCAGTTCCTGATAAGTTTTGTTGTTGTGATTATTGTTCTCACTTTTAAGCTTTTTATTATGGAAATTATCAAACATGTACAAACTAGAGAAAATGGTATATTGAACTTTCGTGTACCCATAAATAATCTCCAACAATTAACACCTCGTGCCTAATCTTGTCTCCTTTTTGAGAAGCTTTTTATTGCTAATGTGTGTTCTATTTTCTTCCTGAGGGTAATGATTTCTTATGCCATTAGCCTCTAGGGCGGCTTGGGGCTTCAGTTATTGGAATTGATCCTGTGGATGAGAACATTAAAACAGCACAGCACCATAAATCATTTGACCCAGTCCTGGATAAGAGGATAGAGTACAGAGCGTGTTCCCTGGAAAAGATTGTGGAAGAAACTGCAGAAACATTTGATGCTGTTGTAGCTTCTGAAGTTGTAGAACATGTGATTGATCTAGAAATGTTTATACAGTGCTGCTGTCAAGTGTTAAAAGTAAGACTTACAGAGTTTACTTATTTGTTTTTTCTTTTGAGTTTGTGTATGTATCCATAGCAATAAATGTTTTATAATACTTGAAACCAGGAAGACAGGATGAGGGGACAGCATCTCTACTGGCGATTACTTCTGCCTCTCAGCCTGCCCTCGATATCTGGGGTTTTCCAGATCTAGTATCTTGATGTCCAGGGATCTTGAAAAATGTTGGTGCTGAACACTGCAATACAAACAATAGATTTATAGTGGTATTTTTCTTTGGTGTAGTCTGGATTAATTACCTAATAGGCATTGAATGACAATTACTAAGAAATTGACTTGGATTAATACTTAAAAATAAAAAACCATTATTAGCATAAATTGGTTAGCCAGCATTTGTTAAGTCACTCTGTATATGTGATATGTGTAACAGTTATCAGCTTATAAAAGAATACTTCATACAAATGATCTCATTAGATCTTACCTACAACCAAGTGAGGAAGGTAAGGCAGGCATTATGACCTCCTTTGACCCAATGAAGATCAGAATCTGAGGTGTCAGAGGTCACATGGTCTTTAAGTCAAAGGTCACTAGGCACTTAAGTAGGGCTTAAGGCTATATCTTTTTATCTGCTCAGCGGCATGTGGAATCTTCCTGGACCAGGGCTCGAACGTGTGTCCCCTGCATTGGCAGGCGGATTCTTAACCACTGCGCCACCAGGGAAGTCCCTACATTATTATGCTTATATAATTTGACACAGTCCTCTGAAGGTGGTTCCAAATTTTCTTTTTAATAAATATTTCCAAAGTATTATTATTACTATATCAACTCTATTGTTTATGTATTCAAGAGGTAACTCCCTAAGGTCAAGAGCTAAAAGAATTAAATGCTTAGCCTTTATCTAAATAGAGCTTTTAAAAAATACTTTTAAAATAATTTTAGATTTATAGAAGAGTTGGAAAGATAGTACACAGTGTTCCCACTGTGAAGGGTGGTGAAGGGTGCCCTTCACCCAGTCTCCCCTACTGTTAACATTCTACATAATAAGGGTAGGAACTGGGGTGAGGCAGGTGTGGCAGAAAGTCAAAGGCGGCACTCGCTATTCTGCGCCAGTCCTGCATTTTCATGCCCCAGAGAGTGAGTGCCTCCTTGGATTCTGTACCCTCAGTACCTCACTTGCCTCACCGTACTCCTAGCCCTGTATGTAGCCCATGGTATATTTCTCAAAACTACAAAATTAGTTGACATTATACTATTAACTACACTACAGACCCTGTTAAATTTCATTAGTGTTTCCACTAATGTCATTTTTCTGTTGTAGGATCCAATCCAGTATTCCATATTGCATTTAGTTGCCATATCTCCGTAGTCTCCTTCAATGTGTATAGTTTCTTGGTGGTGTTTCCTCTTAAAAACAAATTTTATTAGGTATACCTCCTATTTTCCAAGGAAAATTCCTTAATTATTTCTTTTTGAGTAGTGTCTCAGTCAGTGTGTATGGATGGAAGTTCTCACATATATTAGGGATACTGGCATCGTGGAATTTAAAACTAATTTTTGCTTTAATGGAAAGACTATTTAAAAAAAAATGACCAATGCTCATCACTATTTCCTTAGAGTAAGATTTTATGAAACACAGAGTAGATATATAAGTAATTTTTCCCTTAGCTCTACTGAGATATAATTGACACATAAGTGATTTTTTTTTTTTCGCGGTACGCGGACCTCTCACTGCTGTGGCCTCACCCGTTGCGGAGCGCAGGCTCAGCGGGCATGGCTCATGGGCCCAGCCGCTCCGCGGCATGTGGGATCTTCCCAGACCGGGGCACGAACCCGTGTTCCCTGCATCAGCAGGCGGACTCTCAACCACTGCGCCACCAGGAAGCCCACACAGAAGTGATTTTTAATGAGATATTTTAGAATACTAGAGTTTTACAGAGAAAAGTTATAATGTGTAATGAAGTAGTGTCTGATATTTTAGTCTTAAGGGCACATCCCAATATTTCAGGGCCTTCTCTTATCATTTTTATTTTTGGTTTAGAGTGTTATTTGAGATATTTTCATACATATATATCTTAATATGATTATTTTGGAAGGGGTCTTAGGCATTTTATCTCCATCAGGTGCTAATGAGAATGTGTGGAAGAGACATTAATGTTCTTGCCATTTGTGGGAGTACATACAGGAAACACTATAAATATAGTCACTAAACAGGGGCAGACTAAACAATCCCGTAAGTGGTTTGCATTCACTGAAGTTCTTATCTTGATCTCTTTATATTCTTTATACTAATGAAATCAAAACAAAACAAAACACTTTCATACCTTAATCATTAAGGATTTTGTCAGAGAACACTTATTGGCCTTGCCAGCCTGCACAAACCATGGGGCAGTGTGTGCTATACCAAACAAGTTAGGCAGACTTGGCACCCAAAAAGAAAGCAGTGTTGACACATTAAGACATCAGTGTGGACATGTAACAAGGAAGAGCAGCCAGATCTCATTTCTATATTTTTATTACAAATTATTTGATATGTACAAAAGAATGTATAAATATAAACATAAATCATAGTAATGTATGATTTTAGGAGTTAGTTGTAAGCACTGTTGCATAAACTCAGTACACGCATCTGTAGTGGACTGCCCATAACAATGAACTTCCCGAGAGAAAAAAACCCTCTATTTTGGTAGATTATATTTTATTCACACTTGTGGGTTTGTGTTTTGGGTTTTTTTGACCACGCGGTGTGGGATCTCAGTTCCCCGACCAGGGATCGAACCTGTGCCCCCTGCACTGGGAGCATGGAGTCTTAACCACTGGACCCCCAGGGAAGTCCCCATACTTGTGTATCTTAACTGCACTTAAATTGTTTGGAAGGAAGGAGGAGGGTGGGGGAAGCCAAGCCTTTATCTAACTGTTACTCCTAACTTTTAAAATTTTACTTCTACACATATTTTTTTTTAGCCTGGTGGTTCTTTATTCATTACTACAATCAACAAAACACAGCTGTCCTATGCCTTGGGAATTGTATTTTCAGAGCAGATTGCAGGTATTGTACCAAAAGGTACTCATACATGGGAGAAGTTTGTTTCACCTGAAAAGCTAGAGAGCATTCTGGAATCAAGTAAGTATTAACATTTTTTCCAATTTCCAAGGCCTAACTGAACTTTTAATGTGCCTATAATGATTAATCACATTAACCTAGCACTTAATGAAATAGGCCACTATTCTTTGGATGTTGGTTTTCTCTCCTCAACTAGATCATAAACGCCTTGAAGTTAGGATTAAGTATTACATCCACTTTTCTCTCACCTATGGCACCTAACCCAGGGCCAAGCAAATCATAGATGATCAATGAATACTTTTTGGCTGTCTTTTAGTTACACATCCTCAGTTTGTCCTATTGAGGCCGTGCTTGAATCAGCTTATTTTACGTATTACTTCCTTCATAGTCAGATATATTTTGAACTTCCTTGTCACTTTTTTTTTTTTGTGGTACGCGGGTCTCTCACTGTTGCGGCCTCTCCCATTGCGGAGCACAGGCTCCGGACGCGCAGGCTCAGTAGTTGTGGCTCACGGGCCTAGCCCCTCCACAGCATGTGGGATCTTCCTGGACCGGGGCACGAACCCGTGTCCCCTGCATCGGCAGGCGGACTCTCAACCACTGCGCTACCAGGGGAGCCCGTCACTTTTTATGTAGTGTTTTATGCTAGTTATAGCATGCCTTATAGTACAGTTATTTTAGTGTTCTTAACCTCTTTCTGGCTTGAAGGCAAGACTGTCTCCTTTTTGTGCTCCCCACAGTGCCTAGCTCTGCTTTACACCTTGTGAGCACTTGATTTACCTGTTGAATTCCTGTCAAGTAATAACACTTGTCAGTTCATTTATTTGGCATTTGGTATTCCTCTTAGGCTCATGTGTGTCTCATGCTTTTTGTTCATGTAACAGTATATCAATAAACTTGATTTTACTTGGAATAATATTATCTGTCCAATGAAATGTGGTAATTTCTTCTCTGCAAGTAACTTTGTTGAAAATAGAGTAGAAAAAATATTTTAAAGATGATTGGAACAGTCAGTTGTTGGCCGGTATTTTCTAAAAACAGCTAACATTTATTGAGTACTTACCAAATCCCAAATACCGTGCTAGAGTTTATGTTCTGCTGCAGTAAAGAATGAGCTGTACATGGCTACAAAGTATTTGTGCCTATTGAGTTAGGAATCCTTTTTTAATTTGGAGAGTTGCATGGGACTCTTGGCATGTGGAAGGTAAATATTTATTAAATATGCTCTGTCTGATATTTTTTTTTCTCAGACGGTCTGTCAGTTCAAACTGTGGCAGGAATGCTCTACAACCCCTTCTCAGGTTACTGGCATTGGAGTAAAAACACCAGCCTTAATTATGCAGCTCATGCCGTGAAATCCAGCATGCAGGAACACCCAGCTCCTGCCGAGTTTGCTTTAAAGGAGGAAACAGAAGAGCTCCGAATTGAAACCTCCACCAACTCAGGTGTGCATGAAGAGCTGAAGAAATGAATTGTTTCTAAGGACTGTAGTAAAATGGCTTGAAAGTCTGATGTTTACAAATACACAAAATATACCATTTGTCTTTTTTTTTTTTTTGGTACGCGGGCCTCTCACCGCTGTGGCCTCTCCCGTTGTGGAGCACAGGCTCCGGACGCGCAGGCTCAGCGGCCATGGCTCACGGGCCCAGCCGCTCCGTGGCATGTGGGATCCTCCCAGACCGGGGCACGAACCCGTGTCCCCTGCATTGGCAGGCGGACTCTCTACCACTGCGCCACCAGGGAAGCCCACCATCTGTCTTTTGAGACGGGATCATAAAGAAAAGAAAGTCAATAGAAAGGGCTAAAACCTTAGAAAAAAGCTTTTGTTGTTTCATCTAATAGCTACCTTCAAGGGATTAGTCTATGGATTAAAAGAAGTTTTGATGAGGTATTATGTGATCTAGGAGTTTAAGTTTCTCAGCCTTTATTATATAAATAGGGTATACATATTTCACTTCATCTTACAGATTATATGATATTTTTCCCGCATGTATGCACATACATATATACTGTAATGTTTTAATTTAAGTAAATTTGTATCATCTAGGTTCTTCTTTATTTGGTTTTAGTTAAAGGCAGTTATGCTTCTGACTGGTTTTATTTTATACCACTTATATTTAGGAAGATAAAATGTCTTTTTTCCTTTAAATTTTGGTTTTTGGAAAGCAAATTGATTGTTAAATATATACTGGGTTTGGTCAAACGGTAGAATCAAGAAATTCAGATTATGTTGGACATTTTTCTCTGTACAGTTCTATAAATGTTTTGTGGTGCCTTTTTTAAGTAGAAAAGATTTTTGAACTCAATTTAAGAGTTTAGTTACGGAAATTTTCTTTTTCGGCTAACATTTTGTAATTAGAGGGACTGACTTGAAATATACTTTCACGCCTCTTGAAGTATGTGATTTTTTGGCTTTTTCTGAAAGTTCAGAATGTATAAGGACTTTGATAGAGGGTGTTGACCAAATATGAGAAATATAGGTTGAACACCTGTGACTCATATAGAAAGTCAGCTTTTACTTTCTAGCCTTTCTCACCATTTTTTTTTTTTTTTTTTTGGCTGCACCCCACTGGACCGCCGGGGAATTCCCTAGCCTTTCTCACTTTTAAGCTCATAAGCTTTCTGTATTTCTTTGTCAATGCCTGTTGGATTGGGCTCACCACACGAACAATTCCCAACCATCTTAGCTTATCATTTGCTTCTCAGTGGCATTCCAGGGAGGAAACTGAAATTTAAAGGGTTAAAAGAAATTTTAACTTCAGTTGCTAATGTCTAATTAGGACACTAAACATCAGGAGTTCCCACTGGGTTTCATTTAAAAGTTTGATTCTTAGTCTGAATTCTAGTAGTTTTGTTACCAAAGCAAAGCTTCTTCATTCTATCTGTTGGGAAAAAAGAAAAGTGTTGGTATTAATCTAAATGGAAAACCAGAAGCTGTAAAACTCTTAGAAGAAAACATAGGTGGAATACTCTGACATAAATTGTAGCAATGTATTTTTGTGGTTTTTTTTTTTGGTCTCCTCAAGCAAAGGAAACAGAAGCAAAAATAAATGAATGGAACCCAATTAAACTTAAAAACTTTTGCACAGCAAAGAAAACCAACAACAAAACAAAAAGACAACGTACTGAATGGGAAAAAGTATTTGCAAATGATATGATTGATAAGGGGTTAATATCCAAAATATATAAACAGCTCATACAACTCAACATCAAAAAAACAACCAGATTAAAAGATAGACAGGGCTTCCCTGGTGGCACAGTGGTTGAGAGTCCGCCTGCTGATGCAGGGGAAACGGGTTCGTGCCCCGGTCTGGGAAGATCCCACATGCCGCAGAGCGGCTGGGCCCGTGAGCCATGGCCGCTGAGCCTGTGCATCCGGAGCCTGTGCTCCGCAACGGGAGAGGCCACAACAGTGAGAGGCCCGTGTACTGCAAAAAAAAAAAAAAAAAAAAAGATAGATGACCTGAATAGACATTTTTCCAAAGAAGGTATACAGATGGCCAATAGGCACATGAAAAGATGCTCAACATCGCTATTCACCAGGGAAATGCAAATCAAAACCACAATGAGGTATCAACTCTCATCTGTCAGAATTGCTATCATCAAAAAGTCTACAAATAACAAGTGTTGGCAAGAATGTGGACAAAAGAGAACCCTTGTACACTGTTGGTGGACATGTGAATTGGTGCAGCCCCTACAGAAAACAGTATGGAGATTCCTCAAAAAACTAAAAATAGAACTACCATATGACCCAGCAATTCCACTCCTGAGTATTTATCCAAACAAAACAAAAACAAAAATACTAATTCAAAAAGATATGTGCACCCCAACGTTCACAGCAGCACTATTTACAATTGCCAAGATATGGAGGCAACCTAACTGTCCATCAACAGATGAATGGATAAAGAAGATGTTATTTATATATATGTATTGGGTTGGGCAAAAAGTTCGTTCAGGTTTTTCCACCCGAACAGTTTTTTTTTGCCACCCTAATACACACACACACACACACACACACAATGGAATACTACTCAGCCACAAAAAGAATGAAATTTTGCCATTTGCAACAACATGGATATTGTTGGAGGGTCTTAGATGCTAAGTGAAATAAGACAGAAAGATAAGGTGAAGGGGCAAGATACAAGAGATACAAACTACTATGAATAAAATAAGCTACAAGGATATATTGTACAGGGACTTTCCTGGTGGCACAGTGGTTAAGAATCCGCCTGCCAATGCAGGGGAGGTGGGTTCGATTCCTGGTCCAGAAAGATCCCACAGGCCGTGGAACAGTTAAGCCCGTGCACCACAACTACTGAGCCTGCGCTCTAGAGCCCGTGCACCACAACTACAAAAGCCGGCAAACCTGGAGCCCGTGCTCTGCAACAAGAGAAGCCATTGAAATGAGAAGCGCGCGCACCGAAACGAAGAGTAGCCCTTCCTCGCCGCAACTAGAGAAAGCCCGTGCACAGCAACGAAAACCCAATGCAGCCAAAAATAAATTAAAAAGTTAAAAAAAAACGATTAATCTAAGGACTGTGTAATGAAATTGATTAAAAAGCAGCCCCCAAACAAAGGGCATTTATTTTAGAAAGAACACTCTTTCAATTATTAAAAATATACATTGTTAAGTGATGGAAATTCAGTATGATTCAGTAATAGCCCCATTAGGTAGGGACTACCGTCCACTCCATTTCACAGAGATGTTAAATGTATTCAGCCTCTCACAAGTAGTAAGATGCAGACCCAGGCAGTCTGATTGCTGAGCTTGTGCACGTCACCACTTTGATACTTGTACCTAGTATCTGTACCATCATATGGTCATCATGGTAGAATAACCACACACAACTGGATTATTATCACGTATGTGAATTGTCTGTATGCAAGGTAGCACCTTCAAAAGCATTTAAATCAAACAGCATCACAAAATCTAGAGTCTGGGCTGTTTGCCTCAGTTCTCTTAGAGCTTCATTGCCTTTCTACGACTATAACAATTACATGCTACTGATGGCAACTTAATAAAATGCTTTAAAGACCCCAAATAAAATTATAGCCTTACTTTCTATTATAGTTACAGGTTTTACTTTGTATTAATTATAAATTGAAGAGAAGTATTGAATTCAAGTACTACACAACAAAAATATCTCAGTCAAGCAAAAAAGTAAAAAATTTTGACATTATTTGAAATGTCTTTTTGATGTGTGCTAGGGACACTCAACGAGGGCTTCTGTGCTACCGTTGACCTGGAATACACAATATTGAGAGGCATCAAGTAAAGATTTAGAGAGACTGCTCGGTAACGAGGCATAGGAGTAAGTCATGCTTACTGGAAATATTTTTTAAACCTGGATTGGCAAGGTCCCTGCAATTCTGTAAAACATATTTGTATAATTACAGGCTTACAGACATTGATCCAAAAATCTACGAATCCTAAGAAAATGTCAATGGAGAAATAAAGACGGAAACGAAACCAAATGAAAGTGTTAGAACAGTCAACACATAATTGCTTTTATTAACTTACAATGCGACTCTATTAGAAAGGAGATTCTTACTTGACTATTACTAATGAGATGCAAATGACATGCAAGTCTTCTCTGTATCAAAAAAAAAAAAAAGCCAAAAATCCTGACACTGATGGTTTGCATGAAAATCAAGCAAAAGAATTTATTGTGAGATCAATAAACCTCTTGTATCCCAGCAAGAAAAGGATGCAGCACATATAAACGAGCCACTATCTAGGAACTAAAAGCCACCAGTTGGAGCCAAAGGAAGAAAATATGTTCTCAAGATGATGTGAACAGAACTGAGAATGGGGGTGGAGAGTTACAAAGTAAATATGGACACGAGATGTTTCCACTCTGATAGATTTGATTTTGTTTCCCGTTGACAGATGGGACCCAACAGACATAAAGTCACTGACATCATGTAAGATCTGCACATGTCTTTCTGACTCTAAAACAGGCTCTGTATCTGGGGTCCTGATACAGGCTTCTGAGGTTCTAGGAGCCCCCTGAAATAGGGAACAAAGTTTTGCGTGTGTGTGTATTTTTCTGCCGAGAATGTCCCATAGCTTTCATCGGAGTCTCAAAAGTTTCATGACCCCCAAAAAAGGTTAAAGGTGACTATAGTTAAAATACTGCAGTAGGGAAATATAGTCTTTACTTGACAGAATATGTCAGGAAAAGAAAAATACGGTCACTCTGTCTTCTGCTTATATTTTGTAAAAGTGAACATGAAGGGTGTCACTAGCTGTGAAAGGTGAAAACTGGATGATGATTTAAATTGCCTCTTTTTGGTCATTCTTTTGATATTAAATTGAAGAGACATTCTGGGATTCTGTTTTTAGACTTAGTTTTGTCAGGATGGGATGGTAGAAGTCTAGATTAATTAACAATCAGATTTATGCAACGTTTAAAGAATTTCAACTCATTAAAAAAAAAGGATTGATTTTATTATTTATGTATTTATTTATTTTTTGGTCGCGCCCTTGGCAGTGAAAGCACAGAGTCCTAACCACTGGACCGCCAGGGAATTCCCAAA